CTTCCATATTCTTCCACTTTCTGTCAAAAGCCAGGGTTCTGTTGGTTTTTATGGCTGAGTAGTATTCCATAGAGTATATGTGCCACAGTTTTTCAATCCATTCCTCCATACGGGGGGCATTTGGGTTGGTTCTAAGACAGCAGTTGTGAATAGTGCCACAATAAACATCAATGTGCAAGCATTCGAGCAGTTTTTGTAGCCAGTTGCTTCCTGGGTGTTTTACCACCGGTGGATTTGTGGGCTGTCTGCTTTGTACAAGCCATGGTAAAGACACTTCCTCACTTACCCCCCTTCTTCGGCTAGAGCTCCGTGAGCTAGAGGCGGTGCTGGCGTTGGAGAGCGATGGCGGCGCGGCGGCGGCTGCCAACACAATTCATATTTAAAAGTTTTTAAATACACTAAATGGATAATAATGGATATTCACTGAAATTTAAGTCTAGCTGGGTGTTTTATTATGGTTTTTTTATTTGCTAAATCTTACAGCATTCAGTGACATGCTTACTCTAAACATACTCTAGTCTTCTATGTGATTCTTTAAGGAATTTTCACAGATATTTTCATTATGTAGAATTTAAGACACACAAAAACATACACGAGAGGACAGTGAACATCCATGTCCCATCATGTAATCCCTATGACCATCAAACCCAAATCACTCTGTCATCTTGTATCATTAGTAAACATCTGTTTCACCCATTATATCTAATTTCACAAGATGATCTCCATTTTCTACCATAACCATAATCCCATTATTAAAACTGAAACACAAAAAGTCAAATCCTTGCGTTACTGAACATTCAACATTCCAGTATGTAATTCTGTCATTTTTAATAGTTTGCCTTAAAAAAATCTGTACATAAGGAATGTTCACACTGGACCATCAGGTGGCATGGTGAATAAGGCACTGGATCTCCACATGGTGGTCCATGGTTTGAGTTCTGAAGCTAATGGCATGAAAATCATGGCAGGTGCAAGTGGGTGTAGGCCCAAATCATAAGAACAGAATGGAGGAAAAGGGATTGTGGCATGGCCACAATGTGTGTGGGTGTGAGTTTTCACTTTACCCCTCTCTCTGTCTCTTCAGTAAGCACACATGTCCTATGGCAAAATCCTTTTAAAAAATACACACACACACACGGAGAGAGAGAGAGATTTTTGCTATAGGGCACATGCATTCACTGGAGAGACACAAGGACAGAAAGTGAGAAATCACTCCCCCCAGGAGGGATGGCCACACCACAATCCTTTCTCTTCTATTCTCCTTTTGGGATTTTGGGCATGCACGCACACGCACCAACGAGTTTCAAGCTGCTGGGTTGGGGACTCGTACTGTGGTCAACCACGGGAGAGTCCAGTACCTCATCTTAAAATAAATTATTTTTTAAAAATTCAGGTCCACACTTTCTCATTGGTAATTCTTTTCTAATAACAGCTTCATTGATATATAGTGCATATACCATACAACTATCCATTTAATGTATAACATTCAAAAGTTTGTAGTATAATTCACAGAGTTGTTCAGCTGTCATGAGAAACAATTTTAAAATATCATTCCCCCCAAATAAATGCTACACTCTGTGGTCATCACCCATTAGTCCGTCTCCCCTTCGTCCCAGTTGTAGATAATCATAATTCAACTTTCTGTGTTTATAAATTGTCTTACTTAGAATATTTCATAGCAATCAAATCTTTTGTGATATTTTATGTCTGTTTTCTCCCTCTCAACATAATGTTCTTTGTATTTGTTTGTTTGTTTTGCTTGTTTTAGGGTGCATGTGCTCATAAGAGAGAGATGGAGGTGAGGGAAGAAGTGAGAAAGCACATTCAGTGTGGAATGGTCATGCTTATATCCCTTCTCCACCAAATTTCCTTAGAGGATTTTGGGCATGTACGAATATTCATTGGGGATGTTTTTCAAGCTACCAGGTCCAGGACTTGAGGCGTACAGTCAGCCATGTGAGACCTAGTCACTGTAACCACCATGCCATTAGCTGGTCCAATATAATTTTTGTTTGTTTTTAGAATTATTTTATTTAACTTTACTTATTTATTTTAAAGAATTATTTATTTAATTTTATTTATTCATTCATGGATTTTCATTATACCAGAGAAAGATGGACACACAGAGAGAAGGAAAGTGAGAAAGCAAGCCACCAGGTCTGGAATTCAAATCAGAGTCAACCTTATGGGAATGTCCAGCACCTTAACCACCATGCCATCTGCTGGCACCAACTTTATTTATTTTTAACTTGACCAGAGAGGGAAA